GGAACTGTAATAGATCCTAGCATGAAACAAAACGGCGGTTCCCATGAAGAGAAAATATATCTTGTAGCAAGTCAGTTAGCAGGTATGATCTTTTTCCCTAGAAATTTGAAAAATGAGATTATTCCTGTAATTTCAGAATCTTTATTGCAGCCTTTATCTGAATATGATATGTCCTATGGTATGCAGTATCAAGGTGCACATCTGAGGGGCTGATGTATGTTGCTATGAACATTTGAAACATATGTAAGGTTCATCTCCAGAGGTTCTAAGACTCAAAGAGCGTCATGCCACTCTTGCTCAGAAGTTGTTCGACCGAGGTTGTTACAACGTTCAAGTGCTCAATAAAGCTTTCAAACAGTTTTGTGGTAAACATGTGGAGGACATCTTCAAATTTGATGACAAAAATGATGTCTGAAAGTTTCCCAGAAATTTGGCACGCTGTTGTCCCTGTTCCCAAACCTGGTAAAGGTCCAGGCGTCCTATTTCCTACAGACCAATAGCCCTAACATCTAACCTATGTAAAACTATGGAAATATTGGTCACGAATCGTCTCAGCTTTTAATTAGAACCAAGTGAACTATGAACAAGACTACAGTGTGACTTTGGGAAGACTCGCTCTTGTGTAGAGCACCTTGGTTCTTGGAGAAAAGGACTTTCATTAAAGCTGCAAAACTTGGGAGTAAGTGGACTTACGCTACAGTGGATAAAGAACGGACCATACAAGCTCGTATTGGTCGTATTATGTCTGAAATGCGTATATATTGTAAATGAAACCCAACAGTGCAGTGGTAAGCCCTTTGCTCTTTAATATAATTATCAATTCTGTAAACCTTTGGTGTTAACAGGTTGCAATACTCTTCACCGGACAAACAGTTCCTCCAAATCTAAAATTACACACTAATGGTCATGGCACCAAGTTCGTTTCTAAGTTGAAATTTTGGGACGTAGTCTTTGACAAAAGGCTCATTTTGTACACCCATATCAACTTCCTTTCATCGAAGTATACAATTTTACTACAAAGGTTCTCAATTTGCTGAACAGCGTTTCTGCCACAGGGCGGCATGCTGATAAATGCTCTTTGCTTCTTTACATTCTCTAGATTAGAATATGGCACAAGTTAAAGTGCTTTCAACTTTAACAGTTTGCCATGAACTATTAATTGATTGCCTTCCATGACCTGTTACCCGTTTACCATGATATATAACTTGCTTGTCATGAACTATATCACCTTCTTCGTGTGAACTATAACCTGCTTACCATAAACTGGTATCCGGTTGCCATTACAGATAATAGTTCTTGCCATGAACTATTATCTGCTTGCTATGATCTATAACCTTGTTGTTATGAACTGTTACCTCGTTTGTATGAACTATTACCGGCTTGTCATGAACTATAAATTGATTGCCATGAACTTGTATGTTTCATATTTCTTCTGATTTTACTATACAAGGACGTTTTCTGCAAGAGCTAGTATTGACCTGATGAAGTTGATACAGAGGCTTTATCAGCATGATATTATTAAATTTTCAACTGAGCCTATTTTATTCGACGAGACGAATGACGAGATTAATGAGTACACCTTGTTATGTCCCGAGTCGTGATATCTGTTTTTCACTTATTTTCACTTTGTGGTAATATTTCCCGATTTACAAACTAACTTATAATTATTGAAATCTTCCGATATACGTGTGTTGGGATACACTTATGTTTCAGCATATGAATCGAATATCCTGTTACATTTCTCTTTAGAAGATTCATTAATTCAGATAATCACGCATTTTTTATTGGAACACTTTAAAAATTTTGAGCGGTCTAACAAGATTAACTTAATACTTCGCTTGTAATGTTACCTGTAAACATTGTTGATAACATATGCTCTCCCAAAAAAGAAACGCATCACGAAAATAGCAATTTCAAGTAGCAATGAATTAAAACGTGATCCATTTTACAAAAGGTTTTGCTCTGTTTATGAGGCCTATGTTGTTTATGTTTTGTAACATCACAACAAAACGCACCATCAGTCAAATACCCGTATTTAACAGCATGATTTTCAATTTCGGCGTGTAGTGTCACAGAATACACAATTCACATGCAATGCACGTTAAAGTTGGGGATCAGATAGTCTCAATGATGGGTATAAAAGGTTGATCGCTGTCTGTCGATTATTCACTGTATTTGGAATATTGTTGACGAACGCAAAATGCCACCTACCTGGGACCTACCGAATTGGCGTAGAATCTTGTTCAGTGATGACACGATGGAAGAATGCGGGTGTACAGACGTCGACGTGAACGTTTCGCCGACGCTTGCGTTCCCCAGGTGGACATATTTGGCCATGGCAGTGTTATGATGTGGGGAGCGAACACCTGCCGTAGGAGAAGTGATTTGGTGATGATCCAGGGCAACCTGACAGCTCAACGGTACTGTGACGAAATCCTACACCCACACCTCCTTCCAATCATTGATCGCCAGAGGGAGTTGTTTCAACAGGACAATGCCAGGCCCCACAGAGCACGTCACACTAGAGACCTCCTCCAGAACTACATTATCAATGTGCTCCCCTGGCCCTCAAGATCACCGGACTTAAACCCGATCGAACATCTGTGGGATGCCCTGGACAGACGGTTGCGACGCCGTAACCCTCAGCCCCAGACACTTCAGCAACTCTCACAGGCACTTCTGGCAGAGTGGGCTGCGATTGGGCAACACGAGATTCTGAGACTTATTCGTTCGATGCCGAGGCGATGCCGTGCAGTTCTGGATGCCCACGGTGGTCACACGAGGTATTGACTTCAGCGCCACCACACGTCTCCATGTGACACTCAAACTGACTTTCCTCGAGTTGGTGCCAAAGACGGATATGTCAGCATTCCCAGTGTGCAATTTCGCTTTATTTCATTGACTCATAAAGCCTACAAGATGTTTCAAAATAAACATAAAAATACAGTTGAAATTCCTATATGCGTTTCTTTTTTGGGAGCGTATATGATACATTAATAATTTGAAATTGCTGGCGGTTTGAGCAAAACACGTGAAAAAGCTTTTGGGTATCATTCTTGGCGGCTGACTTTGTGTGCTGCCGATTAGGTGCCTGACTTCAGCTGAAGATGAGGGTTCGAATCCCGGATGGGACCCAACTAAAGTACTAGAATCTGTACTTTACTGAAAAAGTGTAATCCGAAATATAACATAATAATTATGTTACATTTGTCCACTTTCTAGGTGGCATTTTTATTCATAGAGTTCCTTTCTGTCAAAACCTTTTTAATTTTTAACGTTGTAACCTCTGTCCCACATGACAAACTTGGGCATTTGTAAATAGACATGGTGAGCATAGATATGCTTACGTATCTATCTCCAGAGGATCAGGACAGGTAAAAAGTGAAAGCCAATGTCATTTGAAGTTTACTGCGAGAACAATATGTGAAATACCGGCCGTCCTCATTGTTAACATCTCAGTAACGTTTGAGGGTAAAACATTTCGACAAGAAAAAGGCATACCCATTGTGCTCCCATACTCAGGAATCTGTTTCCTTATGCATGTGAATCAGAAATAACTGATCTGATTAGCAAAAATCAAAACAAGGTAATATGGCCAAGGCCTCTAATTTCAAGTATATCGATAATAGGCATAAGAATGACCTGGAGTTTGGGGTGGAGGGGCGCAAACATTCAAACATTTCAATATTGACAGCAACATTCTGAACTTGCAGACAGATGTACTGATCGGACCTATAAGGCGCAGTAGCATGGCAAACGTGCATATCAGAAGAGTACTCTCCGTTTTCAGAAGTTTTCATAACTGTCTCCCTGAACCGCAAGTTAGGATGGATTCCATGAGGTTTACAGTACTACTCATACAGGCCCTCAACGCCCATTATTTAGATACTTCTGTTCATTGAAGACAAGGCCCGCAACAGGTCTTAGTCTGAACTCGGTAACATTGTGTTCAAGTCCATGCATGATTTGTGACGCAGGACGCCAAAACACAGCAACTGCCTCCATGACACCTCACTGGGGTTAGATGAAGTGGGGCATCACGTTATGAAACAGTGTCAACCTCTGCAGTATATTTATGTGGTAAATATAATAATTATTGGAAAAATATCTGTTTGCATAATCATTTTAATGATTTGGGCGTCCATCTTGAAATTGGCCATTTTGAAAATGCCACAAGGTAGAATTTGCAGAACTTTGTATCTTGCACATGGCAATGATTTTTTCCAATGTCATGTCTAATGTTCTTAGCCTATGTAGTGGGTTCATATTTATTCAAATCTGAAAACGTAACTACAGTCAAAAGTCAATCCCATCCAGTTTTTGTAGCTCTCAATAATCATTTGATGAACAGTGTTAAAATATCTTCTTTTCCGTATGTTTAGAATTTATTCCTGAGACATACTTAAAGAGACCAATACAATAAAGTGATTGACAACTAAGTTATGTATAATGATTTCCTCACATAAGGAACTGTGACGCAATAATATTTGGAATTTCAGTCCTTTGACCAAATGCATGTCGAATAGAATGTCCAGATCCACTGATCTGAACAATATTACGCTCTCCATCATAGTTTTGTATTGACATGAATATGATGAATCATGTAAAATAGGTACATTTTAATTGTTGTTGTTTTTGTTGTGTTTTTGGTTTTTTTAAATGACGATCCAAAGGTTAATGGTCCTTTATGTCAGTTGTTTCATACCACAGCCGAAGTGTTTTGTACAGTGGTTTAAAATGGTTAATAATGTGTGTTAATAAGAAGTATGTTATCATATTAACATGCTGGAAACATATGCTCATAATATAGTCACCGTTGTAAATGCAGTCTACTTTTAGCAGCAATTTCTGAAGGATTTTGAAAAGATCCCGTCCCTTATATTATACTTACGGTACACCTCGTGTATGACATGCGTTTTCATGTAAGACGCATATTTATTTCTGCAACTAAATTTCTGTTTCTGTTCACATGCAGGGGGAAAACTGCGGATTTCTTTAACATGGGCAACCTGATTCCAAGTTCCGCCAAGAAAGAAGCAGAAGATAAATTATCAGCCATTCAGGGTGGTGGGAGTTGGTATGGATGTCGTGCTCACACTTTCAAACACTGTCATCACTGTTCGCAATATTCCAGCTATATTGGTCGATACTCATGCTGTTGATCACTAGATTGTCAGGTCCAGACTCCATTATTTACAGACCGCCGCCATATAGCTGGAATGTTGCTGAGTGTGGCAAAACCAAAAACAAAATCTATTTTTGAATGGATTAACGAATCTTACTATCCAGGACGGTGACGTTTACGCTCTTTTAAGAATTTAATTCACTTTGATGTGTAAATTTGTAACACAACTCGTAAGGTCCCCCCTTTACAGTCTTCTTTACAGAATTTGGATTACTTTACATTTTACATAAATTAACATTATCATATATTCATAACAGAATGGTATTTTATTATTGTCAATCAATAATGATATATTATATATAACACTGTACATTGATTGTGCCATAAACAAGAAAATGTTTTTAAACATATATTTTACGTATTGTTTCTTGTTGACTTGCAGGGAGATTTTCAAGATTGAGAACGGTAAAATGAAGCCCAGCTCAAAGGGGAAAGACTTTAAGAAATTATTAACTCAGTTTTCAGGTAATCTTTCGTATGTACGTGTTCGTGTTTCGGGTGTATGTACATATTTCGGGTGTATGTACATATTTCGGGTGTATGAACATTATCGTGTTTCGGGTGTATGTACATATTCGTGTTTCGGGTGTATGTACATATTCGTGTTTCGGGTGTATGTACATATTCGTGTTTCGGGTGTATGTACATATTCGTGTACATATTCGTGTTTCGGGTGTATGTACATATTCGTGTACATATTCGTGTGTCGGGTGTATGTACATATTCGTGTTTCGGGTGTATGTACATATTCGTGTTTCGGGTGTATGTGCGTGTTCTACTGTCGGATGAGTGGGTTGTTTTGAGTGCACAGGTTGAATGCCTTGATCACGGGGGTTAGTTACAGCACTGGGAAGACCTGTACACTGTTGGTCCATAGGCTGACTGACGACCCAGTCACCAGGACAAGGGCGGATCTTCAAGGGTCAATAGGCCTACACTTACTGATTAAAAATATTACCGATGTTGAATTTTACATTTGTTTTGAGTCATTAACAACATCGATGAAATCATTTCTTCTCCTTCGCAGATAAAGAAGTAGCATTTGGCTACTATCGCCATGAAGCCGGCGTGTTCATGATCATTGTGTGGGCGGGACAGAAGTCATCACCAACGGACAAGTTAACCCTGGTTACAGCAACACCGTTTTTACTGGCCATGATTAAGGCAGGCGTTCACATCAAACATAGTCAACCCTCGTTAGCTCGTTATATATTTGGGCGGTGGGGTAGCCAAGTGGTTAAAGCGTCCGCTCGTCACGCTGAAGACTCGGGTTCCATTCCCCACATGGGTACAATGTGTGAAGCACATTCCTGGTGTCCCCTGCCGTGATATTGCTGGAATATTGCTAAAAGCGGCGTAAAACCATACTCACTCACTCGTTATATAACATCAGACCGCCTCCGTGGTGTAGTGGTTAGAGCGTCCGCCCGGAGAGTAGAAGGTCGCAGGTTTGATCCCCGACCGCGTCATACCAAAAGACGTTAAAATATGGTACTTGTTGGTCCCTGCCTGGCGCTCGGCATTAATCGGTACAACAAGGACTGGTCGACTCGGAGTCAGTATAATGTGTCTGAGTTGGGTATTCATGCTTCACTGCGGCATGGTATCTCAGTGGGCTAGCACTATAAAACCAGCTTAAGTCTGGACTAGTACAAGCAGCCGCACATACACATGCACGACGTCATATGAGCGAAATATTCTCAAGCACGACGTTAAACCCAATTCCGCCGCCGTTTTATATCATCATGCCACGTGTACCGATGGTCGACGGTTTAAATTCATTCCCCACGCCATTCCAAGATGGTACTTGTTGTTACCCTGACTGACACACGACATTGGGGAACGAAAATTAAATCTTATGTGTTTTAAAAAATTGTGTGGGTATTTCTGCATGAAGATGAACTTTTTTATGCAAAATCTTCCATGCAATTTTTCCTGTCAAAACTGCTATTTGGGATTTTCTGTGTGCGGCATACAGATTCTTTTTTTGTTTTCCAACATTCTGAATCGTGATATTCGTGGTCGGAATAAAACAAGTACTAGTGTCTGAATGGGTTATCCATGTTAAATTGCATGTCAACTCAGTTGGGTAGTGAGTGAGTGATGTTTTATTCCAGCATTATCAGTGCAGAGGACGTCAGAAAACGGCTTCTCACATCGTACTCATGTGTGGAATCGAACCCGGGTCTTCGGCGTGACGAGCGAACGCTTTAACCACAAGGCTACCCCACCTCCCCTTCAGTTTGGTAACGCTATAACATATTCCCAGACACGTGCAAACACATTTCTACATGAATCATACAACCTTAACCGCGACGTCGAGGCCCTTTTACCTGACCCCATTTACGCGAATTATGACTGGTCCGGGCAAATGTTCTGGAACCACTTCAACTCAAGCTAACGGAATTAGTCTTTTCGCAATATCCTAGATAATAAACCATTAAACCACTAAACTAGATAATGATAGATTAAATACATTGTAGATCATACCAGTTCTAAAATCCTTATGTCATAGGTTCCCAATTGCGCAGATCGATGCTCATGCTGTTGATCACTGGATTGTCTGGTCCAGGCTCGATTATTTACAGACCGCCGCCATATAGCTGGAATATTGCTGAGTGCGGCGTAAAACTAAACTCACTCACTCACTCTAAAATCCTTATTCAGCATCTATATAGCTTAAAGTGTCTCTATTCATCTCATTAAATGTTAGTTACCTGACACGCTACCTAAATAGCCCAGTGGTTACAATATGTGAAGCCCATTTCTGGTTTCCCCCGCCGTGGTGTTGCTGGAATATTGCTAAAAGCGGCGTAAAACCATACTCACTCACCCACTCATATGACTGTTTATTTGCTTTCAGACGTTTGCGGACCAGTTAATGACCGGCAAATTGGCTGGAGTTGACCTCGACAGTATCACTAAACTCGTCAACAAAGCGAAGGGACTTACTAAAGGAACTCCATTACAATAATGTTTTCTGGGGAAATGGTTCTCTTGTTTCCCCGTGAGATCAACTACGACAAGGCATTATTCGTAAGCATGTAGCTTTAAGAAATAAAATTTAAATATTTATTTTTTGAGTTTTAAATTTGACGCCAGGTTTGTTAGTTCAGTATGTAACATGTATACAATATAGGCATGCTAATGTTTTGCGTTAGTTGTCGGTCCACTGGACGTGGAGGTTGAGTGGGTTGAACACTGTAACCCGTTATGGTGTTGCTCGAATGAAGCAGAATAGACGAGCCAGGAGATACGAGTGTTTGACGATATAACCGCCATATTATCCTCGTCGACAAAGGGCGGTGGGGTAGCCTAGTGGTTAAAGCGTTCGCTCGTCACGCCAAAGACCGGTTTCGATTCTCAACATGGGTACAATGTGTGAAGACCGTTTCTGGTGTCCCCCGCCGTGATATTGCTATAATATTGCCAAAAGCAGAGTAAAACCATACTCACTCATTCACTGACACTGGACCTTTGACACTGGACTGTTGCATTAGTTCTGCTCTCATATTGCTGGCATAGTGCTTTGTACAGTGTTAAACAACAGATTCTCCACAAAACGGCCTTGTGAAGTTCGAATACACTACCAGTTTACCACTGCAATAGAGTAAAGTGACTGGTGTTGAGTGGCGGTTCAAAGAGCTGAATTGAAACTCCGTAAAATCTGTCTGTGATTAATTCACCCATCTTGCGTGTAATTGCCAGCTGAGGCAACACTGTATCCGAATCAGATGCGAAGGTGAAAATATCAACGGTCGGATTTATTCCATTTGACCCAAAGTCACGTGAACGTGCATTTCTGATATTTCTGCTTTCCACGACATCGACATCGTCTGTGCTGAAACGTCCCACGCCAATTTGTGCAAGAAGTTCAAATTGTATTTTAATGGTCGCCACAGCAACTACTGGGCACATTTTTATCCGTCTTTCTCGCCGGTTTAGTTCAGATGTGAAGCAGCTTAGTATGTTCTTATTTATACTGACTGACTGAATTTGGTTTTACGCCGCTTTTAGCAATATTCCAGCAACATCACGGCGGGGAACACCAGAAATGGGCTTCACACATTGTACCCATGTGGGGATTCGAACCCGGGTCTTCGGCGTGACGAGCGAACGCCTTAACCACTAGGCTACCCCGCCGCCCCTGTTCTTACTTATAAGTGATATTGAACTCATATTTGGAGGTTTTCCTGTTTAAATAGAGATCAGTTTAAATATGAACCTCAAAGAAGGATTTTATTGGGCAAAACATGCTATACGACCACGATCAGTGTTTTCCTCAAACTTGACTTCCGGTGTATATTTAAAGAAAATAGGTTCAAATACTCCATTGATACTTAAATGTCATTTCCAATATTACGACGTTTCTTTTGTCTTTTAGCATATTTTATTGGAAATAAAAGATACATGTTGAACTAAAATGGTGTGATTAATAGCAATAATTGGCTTTTTTCGTGTATTGCAGGCTGCCATTGAAGTCATATTTGTACCGCTGCCACAATTTTGGGTGTCGTCAAATGAGGTTCCTGTAAAGTTGTTTCCAGATGAAGCAGCGGAACACAGAAGATGACGGGAAATGACGGGAAAAGCAGACTTTGGCACAGTTTCTCCTGACTTTCTGTCAGATGGAATAATAAGACCTAAATAATTTCACTTTAATTCATGACTTAACTATTAATTATTAATTTCGACACGATAGTGTTTCGAACCACTGACTGAAGCAATAGTTCCACAGTGACTCTTAGAGAAGCCATAACATAAATCGGCCCCAGAGGAGTCTCATGTTAGAAATTGTAGATCCCAGAGAGATTTTACGAGTCCTAGGATTTTCAGTCCTACTCTTTACCTGACACTTACAAACAGTCACGTATTGTTATTACAGTTAGCCGGTAATCAACTCAAACAACATGCAGTCTCTTCATGGAGATGCATATGTTCTTCAACAATGTACTTGTTTGTTAATTAACGTTGCATTCAGCATATTCCACCTGTATAACAGCTGTAATGAAATAATCCAGTCTGGACCAGACAGCCCAATGCTTGATGTAGTGAACCACGATATATAAGGTCTTGGTACGATGATACCATGCTGTCAATCAGATCACTGACCAGCCAATCCTTTGGGACCACAGTTACGACCAACATAGGTTGCAACCTAATCTATCCGAGAATGTCGGCGAAGTTTAAATCCGTTTTGACCGGTATTTCCTAAGGGAAACCCCAAACAGATGGAGGTAGCTAACGTTTTACAACCATGGTGTCTGATGGAATCACAGGACTTCCTGACACCCAGGAGAATCACTTGGCTGCAGCGTCCACAGGCCCTGGGTTTGTATTAACTATATGTATTATTCAATTACACGTGATACATATGTCCTTGTGAACAGTAAAGCCCGTCTTTTGCAGTCCATCTCTAGTTTTATGAGAAACTGCTTCCCATAAGTGAAAGGTGGAGATTGTTTGATTCTGTATTCTGGAAGATCTGACATTTTCTGTGATTCCTCTTTGCCTCTGCACATCCTGCAACGCACACACATATGTATAATAGAATTTATCAAACGCTTGCCCCGTACCTTCCCAAGAACTGTTTGAGAGGCATTCTTTTCCAAGGCCTGAGGCCCTGGCGGACCTGTCTGTGAATTGTCGACCCTTATGTTGTGAAAGTTCATGGTGATGCCCCATAAGCATTAAGGCAATGTGATGCTCTCCTTGAATGCTGGCAGGATTCTTTTCATGACTGCTCAAATCTGATTTTCCCAATCTTCGGCCTACTCTGAATATGTCTTGATTATCAACGAATGAGTTTAACGCAATGAATGAACTGTCCTTTGCAATTGAAGACTGGGTCTTCAAACACTGTATTTCCACTGCAAACACTTCACTTTGCACTGTCCTAATAATGAATAGTTCTACGGAAGAAAGTTTGTGGAAGTCTTCTGCCTTCTGCTGTTGCAAATATCAGTTTGAATGTCCCATGAAATCCCAAAGGTTCACTGTAGGGACAGTAGTCTTTCAAATTCTTTGCAAGATCGTCAGCTGGTAAAGCATGCATGACATTGGTTCCGAACACTTCTTTGCCTGCCTGCGCGGCTTTGTGAAGACCAAACGTGACGACAGCTGTTGAAGGTTTGTTCCCAAACACATGAACCTTCTTCCTGTACTCTGTAAGATCCAGTTTAGGATCGTTGCTGCGAAACCATACAAACCTCAAAATGTTCCTGTGGTCCTCTAGTACTTTCAAAGCATTGAAACATGTATTGGACATCAGCCATTATGGCAACAGGTTTTCGTTTGAAGCCTAGCAAAATTCCCAGTAGATCATTTGTAAGACCAGGTCCCTGTAACAAAACGGAGTCGAGTCAAACATGGCACATATTTGAGATGGCTTATGGGGTTGATACACACCGAAGATTGGAAGATACCAACATTCTTCATTTTCCTTCAGTGGAGGTGTAACTTCAACATGACCATTGTCATATATTTTGTCCAAGAATTCCACAAAGTGATATCTGTTTTCTTCATTTCTAGGAGGCTTGATTTTAACATCTTTGCTCATTGAACAGCTTTAGGTCAAGTGTTAGATAACCATTGCCTCGTACCTTTAAAGGGCAAATGGGCTACCCATGTCCCTTGTGAATTCCTTTTCAATTTCCTCTTCCGTCATCTCAATAAAATATCTATCCTCTGCTGAATGTCCAGGTCTGCCATCATCCTTTGTAGTTTGAAATCTGACATCATTTACATCAGGTTTTCATCTGCAGTGTTCTTCTGCAGATGCAGTATATAGGGGCATGGCTGACATAGTGATGGTCGTCCACTGGCTAATGTGTACAGTTGACGTTGAATCTTGCTGAGGCCGGCTTCACCGATGATTACCTATCCAAGAGGTAGTCTCTGTGCATATGGGGGTCTTGTGGGTCCTGTGAGCTGAGTCAGTGCATGATGAGCCAATGCAGGTTTCTTCCTATCAATGGGTGGATAGATGCATCCTCGTCTCGGGGAGGAATACACTGAATTATATCCTATAAATGGTTGTGATGTCTAGCTACATCCGGAGTAGACATTTCTTGCTTGATATCTCGTATCATGTTGCATTCAATCAACATTGGAAATTCTAACTTGTTCTCCGTCTAAAGACTATATAAAAATGCCGATGGTATTCTTTCTGATGTTATATGACTGCCACTACAAGATGGGATGGTATAATTATACTTTTGATGTCAAAGAGGAAACTTGTGCTGCAGAGAAGCATTAGTCTGATCGTCCATAGATGCACACATTTTGACCTGTTTCCTTTTGTCCTTCAGGATATACTCGTGCAAGAATATTTTTGGAGCATGATTTCCCTTCAAATAAGTTTCCATAGACTTGTGTATACTTGGAAGACACTGGGTCAAGTTTCTAATGAGATGGAGTATTGTTGGTTCTTTCACTAGTGTCCTGCTTACTCACCTCGCCGTTCTCTTTTCTGGGAGGAAATGACCTATTCTTACTATGTATGGCAGGACAATGCCTCGTATTTCAACACTTTCAACATTCAGTGTTGTTATTATGCAGTCTTTGGGAAGATCTTGATTTGATAAACAACACTTACAGCAAATTCCTGTTCATTTTAAAAAGTCAATCCTTTCTTCCTAGGGTTTTATTTGAAAGCCTTGCACTCGTTCAGCGAGTGGAGTTTTGTGGAGTGGCAGAAAGGTTGCTTGCTCCTTTGTTTGCTGTATTTGTGACCTAGGACCTTCTTTGTATGAGGGTTGGGTTTCAGTCCTGACTGCCTAAACAGATGCTCTCTGTCGCATAGCAGGTGGGTTGTTGAACTTACCTTGGTTATTTAATTGTGTCAGTGTTGACCTTTTGCTGAAGCTGAAGTTTTGGTCATTTTGTAGTCTGTTTAAACGTTTCATACATTTTTGAAAAGAGAGAATGGTGGAAATGAGACGTGGTGAATTTCCTTGTAGTTGAATGTGTTTA